TCACGTTCACCAGGTCATCCCTGTCTTGTCTCCTTGCTTTTATGGCCTCCCTATATTCCACACTTATTTAATTCGAAGACATTTTTATTTACTTGTCTCCTTTCCTTTTTTTACTGCAGTCACATGCATGGTGCAATAAAAAGATAAAAAAGTAACGTTAGTGGCCTTAGGCTATCGCCTCAGACGTTTTGTCGACATTCACATTACATCAGTGCACCAAGTTTCATTGTGAGAGGACCCATCATAAGCAAGTTATAGGCACTGACACTATTTAAAAGTCTTTTTTGCCTGAGGCTGTTTGTTGTTGTTTACAAGCTTGTAATTTCTGTTTCGATGAACTCTCATCATAGTACTTCAACCATTAGCAAGTTATAGGCACAAACACCATTTCCAAGTTTTAATTGCCTGAGGCTGTTTGTTGTTGTTTATAAACTTCTAGTTTCTGTTTCGATGAACTCTCATCATGGTACATCAGTGTACCAAGTTTGTTGTTGTTTACAAACTTTTAATTTCTGTTTCGATAAACTCTCATCGTGGTATGTACATTGTTAGAGGACCAACCATAAGCAACTTAGAGGCATAAACCCCATTTAAAGGTTTTTATTGCCTGAGGCGGTTTGTTGATGTTTAAAAGTCCATTTCGATGAACTCTTATCATGGTAAACCAGTGTACCAAGTTTCATTGTTAGAGGTCCCACAATAAACAAGTTAGAGGCACAAACACCATTTAATTGCCTGAGGCTGTTTGTTGTTGTTCACAAACTTGTAATTTCTGTTTCGATGAACTCTCATCATGGTACATCTGTGTACAAAGTTTCATTGTTAGAATTAGCAAGTTATAGGCTCAAATATTTTAGCCTGAGGCTGTTTGTTGTTGTTTACAAACTTGTAATGTTTATACTAATGATGGGTTGCATGTGTGTACAAAGTTTTATCGTTCTGGGTATTTGCTCTACCTAGTTAGCACACTTTATTGGTCTATATCATAATGTATGCCCTGGGGCTATTTATTGTTGTTAATTAAAACGCTCTTGTATGCCGGGTCACGGATTCCAATCTTTGTGCAAAGTTTCATCTCGATATCTTAAGTAGTTTTTGAGATACACTTGTCTAAACTGAACAACAACATGACTTTTTTGAATAAATCCAGTACTGATTATGTGATATAAGCCCTTTATTGCTCTTTGTGACGGTACGGATCAGTCTGATGTTGGATTTCAAATGTATGGGCATAATGCAGGACAACCTGTGTCATCCCTATATACTAAGTACTACCATACATAGTGAAAAAGATGAGTATTTAGTCATTCGTTAAAACCACTCAGCAATGGTTTTCCATCCTTACACAACCTCTTTTTAAGCAAGTAGAAGTTGGTAGGTGTTCCTGCATAGTACTAAAAGGCAGTTTAGAGTTAGCTAAATCTTGCGGAGGATGGCTCGTTACCGCTGCAGCCGGCTGATGAGACTGCACTGGCCTGGCGCGCTCCTCCTTTTATAGCCCTGGTGTACACATTCGCAGGCGACCCTCGCCCCTGCACTTGTGCGGCTCGCGAAAAATACGAGTATTTATAAAACAATTTTTGGCGGAAATTCTAAATTGTCCATTTGTATGGTGTAGGCATTTGCAGGCTGATGGTTGGAAGATTGTTAGTGCTGCTGATGACAAGACCCTGAAGGTAAAGTAATTAGGTACCTGAGTGGTAGGTAAAGGTGCCTATATGTATTGCAATGGGTCCTAAAAGTAGTAACCTACCCAACCAAAACCAGTTGTGACAGAAAGTAATTGATGACCTGTTCATGTGACTAGCTCATGAACAAGCTCTCAGTACACCAAGACACAAACCTATGCTTGGATGCCTGCGTAGTCGTAAGGTGCAAGGCTACTGGTTAACTGGTATAAAATTTACTGATCATGATCATCTAGCTTAATCTCATTCTCACTAACATGTAATCATTGCTGTACCTGTACCGAACACAATCTTGCACTGTTTGGTAAAAGTAGTGGTTTTCATTTGTGCCACTACAACACCATGGATGGACACGAAGTCACCACCTGTATGTGTACCTGTATGTGTTCTCCATTTTGTGGGACTGTCTTTTGGTCAGGTGCTTGTATGTCGTAGTGCAGGCAGTCGTTTAGCCACATCCCCATGCTTCTTGATATCTACTGCTATCCAACACCAAGATACTTAGGAGGTAGATATCAAAGCACTATCAGCTGGCTGAGACATAATTATATGACAGCAACAAGCGCCGAAATGCAAAGGGCGGGTGGGGGGAGGGGTGGTCGTTGTCCTGATGCGCGTACAGTGCAATGCTGCATTGGGTTACAGCGTTGCGTGTTTTACTGGTGGTGGTTTGCATTACTATGCCAGTGTTTCAGTGTCCCACCTTGTCCATCCATCTCCAAACTTACGTATGTGAAGGGTGCTTGCTTTGCAGTTTGATTGTCAACCCTATGCACATCACAGAGCTACCATAATAAGAGCTGTTCATATAAAAAAAAAAAGGCAACAAGTGGAAAAATCAAATTAAGGGGGATACAGGGATGGCTCAAAACATGGAAAAGGAAAGAATAAGGGGTCATCACACAGCTAAGACACACAAAGCTACGTGGCACTATCCCTATATCTTTCTTCTATTGATTAATAAGCACATACCATCAGACAAAGATATTATACGGATGGTGCCATGTAGCTTTGTGTGTCTTAGCTGCGTGATGACCCCTTGTTCTTTCCTTTTCTAGCCATCCCTATATTCCCCATTCATTTTTTACCCTCGGCACGCAAGCGCATCGAGGCTCCTATGGGTCTATGCTCTAATACAGCCCTACAGAGTCAGAGCGGGGGCTCTATCTTTCACCTTCAGAGATTTATCCAGACTTGTTTGTTGTTTGTGCCATCCCTAACGGGCAGTGCTAAATTGTAAGTGTGTGTCCTTCTGTCTGTCTGTTACCTTATATCTCACTTCACGAGCCATGGATTGCTCCACAATACCACGTATTCAGCGTCGGAGAGTCGGGGGATTGTTGGGAGTTACGGCGTGAAACACAAGCGAAAAAACCAATAATATGCTAATTAGCACAGGCTTACGTACCTCGACACTACTGTCGCTAGCCCCTGTCAGACTCTCCGCGAGCTACTAGCGGGAAACCACGAGTAAACGCATACTACTAACAAGTAAATTAAAAATCCTGCGAATTTGAAAAAAGAGGTATATTATAGGGATGGTATAAAAGAAAGGGAGACAAGATGGGGATGGGATACATGAAGTATGGTAGATTTGAGCACACTGACACCCAAACCCCATCACGCAATCCCTGTGATGGGGTTTGGGTGTCAAGTGTGCTCAAATCTGTTCATTAACCATGCTTCATGTATCCCATCTCTATCTTGTCTCCATTTCTTTTTATACCATCCCTATATGCCTCTTTTTTTAAATTCGCAGCATTTTTAATATACTTGTCTCTACTTATTTTATATATATATATTATATCCCTGTGAAAGGGGACAAGCCCCCTATAAAAAATTAATAATGGAGAAAAATGCCTGTTGTCGTCATGGAAATGATGTAATACACATGCATACCAAGTTTCATTTCCATGTGTGCTGCCGTTAGCAAGTTTTAGGAGTGAAGAAGTAAATGCCTGAGGCTATTTGTTGTGGTTAAAATAATATGTGGTTGTCATGGAAACGATATAGTACGCATTCTGACCAAGATTCATCTCCAGATGTGTACCAAGTTTCATCTCCATGCATGCTACCATTAGCGAGTTGGAGAAGTGAAGAAGAAATTTTAAAGAAAATTTCCTGAGGCTGGTTGCCATGGAAATGATGTTACACGCATGCGTACCAAGTTTCATCTCCATACGTGGTACAGTTAGCAAGTTTTAGGAGTGAAGAAGTAATTTTTAAGAAAAGTGCCTGAGGCTATTTGTTGCTGTGGTTGTCATGGAAACTATGTAATACACATGTGCACCAAGTTTCACCTCCATGCGTGCTACAGTTAGCAAGTTTGAGGAGTGAAGAAGCAGTTTTAAAGAAAAGTGCCTGAGGCTATTTGTTGCTGTGGTTGTCATGGAAACGATGTAATACACATGTGCACCAAGTTTCACCTCCATGTGTGCTACAGTTAGCAAGTTTGAGGAGTGAAGAAGTAGTTTTAAAGAAAATTGCCTGAGGCTTTTCAAACAATATGAGGTCGTCATGGAAACATGTAATTGCCATGGAAATGATATAATAGGCATACACAAGTTTCATCTCTATGCGTGCTACCATTGGAAAGTTTGAGGAGTGAAAAAGTAAATTCAATGAAAAGTGCCTGAGGCTATTGGTTGTGGTTTACAAACATGTATTGTTGTGATTTTAATGTTGGTGATTGAAAACATGTCTACAAAATTTCGTTCACATAGCAGCTCTTACCATGTATAGGTTAGACGCGGAGCCGCGGGAACTATGCGCTGAGCTGTCGGCGTCCCGAGCGCATCGAGGGCGCTACTAAGGGCTCCGAGGCTCACTAAATCACGTAGTGTCCCAAGGCGACGCGTCTAACCGGCTTAGACTACAGCGCATGTCCGTCCCGCTGCAGTGTCCGTTGTAGGCGTCGCCTGGCCGTTTGCACGCGTTTTTCCCTGCATGCTTTCTCTAGCGTCTTCCTAGCTCTCTGCGCTGCTGCTAGACGAGCCTGTTCCTGGTTTCTTTGTGGGAAGAACAGCTCCAGAAGCTCGGTCCGCCGTCCGCACGCGTGGCGTCTTTTCGAATTGAAGGCGTGGTTGCCGGGGCTACGAATAGTTACCGCGGAAGAGGTAACTAACAAAATTAGTTACCGCTAAACTCGCAATCTGATTGGTCAATTGCGTGTTACCGTAGTCTAATTGTGAGTTATAGTGACACATGTGATCCCATTATAATGTATTGCCTGGGGGCTATGTTGTTGTTTACAAACAAATAAGTATGACCAGTCTCTTCGGGTGACAGATATCTACATTCTTACAAAATTTAACTACTATATGTTATTTCGTTTTCGAGTTACGCGAGTTCAATCTGAAGAAGATACTCTCTGTCAATAGTTACCGCGGAAGAGGTAACTAACAAAATTAGTTACCGCTAAACTCGCAATCTGATTGGTCAATTGCGTGTTACCCTAGTCTAATTGTGAGTTATAGTGACACATGTGATCCCATTATAATGTATTGCCTGGGGGCTATGTTGTTGTTTACAAACAAATAAGTATCACCAGTCTCTTCGGGTGACAGATATCTACATTGTTACAAAATTTCACTACTATAATGTTATTTCGTTTTCGAGTTACGCGAGTTCAATCTGAAGAAGAAGATACTCTCTGTCATAGCCCCATACATCATGCCCATCCCTATATACTAAGTACTACCGTACTTAGTGATAAATAGCCCAGCCTATCAATTAGCGGTACTGCGCATGCACAGTTCACCGAGGGTTTGCACTTTAATTCCACTTGTACGAAGAAAAGTATGTAACGGACATTGCACAGAACACATGAGATGGTACAGATGCATGCAGGCAGTAGTAGGCCAATATCTATCTCGCTTTCCCACACATAACTTTCACTTTTTGGTTTTTATGAAGGTTTGGAGCTTATCAACTGGAAATAGGCTTCTAACATTGAAGTCCCACACTGATGGAGTCACTTGTCTGCAGTTCAATGATGAAGTGATAGTGTCAGGATCATACGACAAGACAGTGAAACTGTGGGACTTCTCAGTTTGTTAACTTTGGGTTTAGTTTAATATTTTTCTTCACATTTTGTATACTTCATACATTTTTAGCCCTTTATGAGTATGAACAGCAGGGTGCACATTAGAATGGCAGGCCTTGCCATCGAACTTCACATGCACATATATAAGTAGTACAGTATTCCAAACACACTTCAATGCACACATGCGATACCTTACACTAGTTTCAGGTCTGTACTAAAAATTTTACTTTTGCTCAAACTGAAATGAAAGAGGAATGTAGCTAGGAACAAACGATTTTGGTGCATCTCAAACCACACTCCAGTCCTAATACGTGATGAAATATATACAGAAGTAAACAAATATTACTTAAGAGTAACAGGTTTTGCTTGAGTTCTTCGTTGTTGCTTCTTTACTTTGCTTGCCTCCTCAACCAGTGGGCAAACAATTTCTTTTCGTATAAAAAGTGCGATGAAGAATCCATTTGTTCCATTGTCATGCCCAGATCTTAAACATCTCTCACCTGTGTGAAATGTGTCAGAAGTAATACATCAACGATTATAATTCCTTATCATTTTGAGAGAAGTATATACTTATATGACTGGGATGCGACGACCTACATAGAATGAAGGGACCATGGAACCAAGGTACTAAACTAGCACAAACCTGGCAGAGAATGCCCTAATATTAGCGCTATTACTTGTACCAGTCGCTTAGTTGGCATCTAAGGAGGGGAAAACCACATTTTATTGGCGACAGTGATTATCAGCAGCATTATGTCACACACTAGTCTCATACCAGGGCTCCACCCACAGTGATAAGTAAAAAACGTGGTCCTATCTATGGTATCACAACCTCTCTTGGTGTATGTATTGCATACGAGGCCCTGCCTAAAAAAATCCGTAGACTACAGATGCACTTGACATTGATTGCCCATTCTGCTATGTCACTAATTTGAGATGTAGGACCATTAGGCAAGGTATTGTATGCAATCCACTTCCCAGAAACGGTGCACACTACTAATGCTGTCACTGGCCTGTGCTACAAATTGACACTTGACTAACTGAGTCGATGACAAACACTGTGACAGAGATGACGACAGAGTTTGAAATTTACTGTTCTACTTAAGTGAAAATCATCAATTTAATATTACCACATACTTATTATGCTTCTGGCTCAAATCACGCGACCTTAGAAGCTGCAATTTATTTTGTTCAACATTAATACTTTCATTGATGGATCTGTGCTGTATGCTAACCATTTCACTGAAAAAACAAGTAGCCATTCATGCCTACACCCTGTACTCTTCATTATAAGAGAACAAGCAATACATTTTTAACCATCCATAGCTCTTCGCCCTGTACTCTTCAGAAGAGAACTGCTTCCGACCAGTGGAATATGTCAGAAATCAGGGTCTCAGATACAACAGTCCATTATCTACACTGACAGCCTAGAGCTCACTCAATCAAGCCGAATTCCGTGTCTTCTGAATGTAGTAGATTCACAATCTGATTACAATGGGACTAAAATCTGTTGTATCACCTCGTCATTGGTCCATGCCGTGATTGCCATAACCTGTTGATTGCTGCTTTCTTAGCATAAAGGGCTATTCTTTGTTCCAAATCATCCAGGCAAATGCATAATAACAGAAAACAGAAATGTCAAACAGAGGGATAGTGTAAAGTCCGTAGCACACTGGATGACTAATACCAATGTCATCATTTGCTTATGCCATTTTAACACAGAAACAGATTGTAGTGTGTTGTCAAAAATAATACCATTATGTGAAATGTGAAAACACCAAACCCACTCTACAGATAATAGACACACAAGACGAAAGTATCGAAGGTCATTAACAGCAAAACCAAGAAGCTGCAACTCCTATACATGCAGTACCTGAGAGCCAGATCTGTAGTTACACATTGTGTCAACCAGGAAGCACACACGTGTTGGACACGTGTCATAGATTGTGTAACGCGATGCAATTTTTGCTGAGCCAGCAAACTATCCCTCCACAGAGATTGTATCCTTTTTAAATCTCTCTGTGAGATTTAAACAGAAATTTCCAACTTTAGCGCCAGAAAACTAGGCCATGAACTACAGTGGTCGACGTCCAAGCAATGTTAATTGAAATTTTTGGCGATTCATGTGATCTTGTCCAACCTCCTCTGTGTTAACATGAAAATTGTGCTGGATACCTCTATTAAGTTTTAAGCCCTCTTCATCGCCTCCGCTGCATCATGCAAATCATCCTAGTTTATAAGTAGCATCCCTCTTATTACACTTGAATGAATACATTGGCGACTATGCGAAAGTCATAGCAGTGTCCTCTCACCTCCAGGAAACACTGGAAATCCCCTACAGCTCCACTCTGGCATTACAGCTTCGAGGTCAAAGACACCTCCAAACCTCTGCAATGCTTTACACACCACCATCTCATTCTCCTAAGGAAGCAGTTCAGTGATAAATCCTCAATGAATGAACTCATGTATTATGTGAACTACGAGGTAGAAAGACAAAGGCACAACAAACAAATCAACTACACTCAACCTCTATGTGCACTAATGATTGGGCGAGCCCGCCAAGTGGTTTGTTCCGCGCTTTTTTGTACAAACTTCTGTGCGGAATATTTCCGTGAGTACACAGGTTTTCTGTTTTTTCCTTTGATAGCTGTACAGTAGCATTCCTTTTTCTCTAGTTTGGTAGTAGAGCCATCACTCGAATGGTCTCTCAGTACTTTGATGTCATTACAGAGCCATTTGGTCACCCTGCCAGTGAAATCTCTGCAGGGTACAGTTATGTATTAGGTTACTAGCTCCAGTTAATAAACAAAACATTGGTGTAGTAGTAAGGTTTGTTTATTGTAAACATGCACAACACATTGTATCTCTGCACATTGACATTTATTTGTGCGAGTCATAACATCATTATGGGCTCAATTACGGGCAGTCTAGTGCCAACAGCACATGGTGGCAGCGGTGTGGTATACCATGACTACTTAAATGGCACACCTGCGAGTTGCACCACTGGAACCGTTTGACTTCGCCACAGGGGATGTGTGGTCCTAAGTAGTTGCACCTGGCATAGGTATGAGGCACTCAATGACAACATGATACATGACCGGATAGTAGTGGGAATCCAAGACAGCGAGTTGGATGGAACGCTGACCTTGAAGAAAGTGCATGCCACTGTTCGCCTGACAGAAGCGATGAAAGAGCAGCAGCCAGTCAGTAGAGGAAACAACCACGATTCTCATACTGTGCCCTTATGTGCTCATTTATTGTCTGTGTATTCATGTCCCTAGTAGAGAGAGGTCTCCTGCAACTGCTTTCCCAGACATTGGTGACCTGACTGGGACCAGTCACGACCCAGACAAGATCCAGGGTATTGTCCAGACAGGCACAGCACAAGATCTCAGCAGTGTGGGACGGTTCTTGGAACCATGAACTGCACGATCAAGTTTTAAGCGGACTCTACTAGACAACTTGAGCGAGACACAGGGTGGCGTTCTTTTTGCAGATGCGTCTTCCCATGGGATCAGAGCAGTTCTCCTGCAAAAACAAAAAAGGTGAAAGTCAAACCTTACAAGAGCCCTCACCCCCACTGAGCTAGATGTAATCCAAAGAAACATCAGGACCCCAACACTTCAACACGCTTCTGTCTCCGAATGATGCGGTTTTCTTATTCGGTCTCTTGTGTCCTGGGAAAGAGCCACACAGTACCACAGCCGGCATACCTAGAATCCCAAAGAGAGACAGCCTTATCCTCAGGTACACCCTGTAACAGATAAGCGAGTGGCAGAGATGATGCCGGAGGAAAGCGTCTGTACACAGGTGATGGAGACTTGCCAGTCACAATGGCGGGAAAAATGTGACATCAGTGTCGAGCTCCATCCCTACTAGTTTTGCCAATGAGATGTCTGTTTGGACGAGCTTCCGCTCCAGGGTATCATCCCTCCTTCCATGAGATTCTCGGCAGGATCCACACTGGCAATCTGGGATTACTAAGTGCTCTGACAGGGCTTGCCAAGCTGTGTGGTGGCCAGGATTATCAGCTAAGCTGCAGAAAGTCGTCAAATAACTGCTATGAATGCTGAAACAAAGTGCTGAACACTTCCCCTTCCAGAAGATTGGTACCTGATCGTTACTTTGTAATAGTTAGACAATGAGTCGTAATATATAAGAAACTACACGGATTTAGGAGGCCGAGGCCCTGGGACTGTGGCGCTTCGAGGACGTTACTACAGGGCCAGAGGCTTCCTAAATCGTGTGCTTTCCATGACTTGTCGTGTAACTGTTTTAAAGTGTGGCGCGCACAAATGTACTATAGGCCCTGGGGGTGAACACTACCCAATAGCATTCATTGATAGTATTCCTCATTGTACTTAGTCTTCTTCCTACTATGTGGACTAGCTATCCCCTAGTTGACCAATCAGATTTGAGTATTTCGAACGGCAGTACTCTTGAATAATTATATATCACAGCATACTGTTTTCTATTTTAGGAGTTGCTTAGGAAAGAGGGGGATCCCTACCTTGCTCTCTTTGCTTAAAGAGCAACCCCTTTCTTGTGTGGCAGAGCCATTCATGTCACGCAACTCTGGACAACTTTTCCTGTCACCCGCAAAAGAATCGGAGAAATTTAAGGCCGAAAAAGGTCGACAGCAGAAACTCAGATATGGGTGGAACTTTAACAACTGACATGGAGTCAGAACTCTTCCTCAAGACTTATCCTGGCAGTCCGAAGGTGGGTGCCAGACAAAGATTCCGAGGAAGAAGTAAAGTGAATGTTCTTCTCAAGTCACTACTAGAGAAAACGAAGTGGCCACTGCCCTCTACAGACCTTTACCCGGAACTAGTGGTACTTGGAACACGACTAAGCAACAAGTGGAGCCTAACACGGAGGATCAAAGGTACACCCATCCGTTCTAATGAGCCAACTCGTCATTCAGCCGGCAATCACTATCCTACCAATCGCCTCGGCCCCTGTTGGACATAGACTGGTGAGTGTTCGACCTGGAGAGGGGACATGTAGTGGTGTTCAGGATTGTCGGATGAGCCACACATTGTCTTCTAGCAATGTATTCAGGTTATAACAACATTCTGGGCTTGGCACCTGCACTGAATGGCATTCAACACCAGTGCTCATTAACTACACATGTGGGTCTTCGGTTAAACAATACCATTCGACAAGCAAGTCAATACTAACTAGTACACGAATGCAGGGCATTTTTGGCGAGCGGGAGCGAACACACCATGACTGTATCTGCACGAGCCATCCTCACTTATTTACAACTTGCACCTTGGAACCACGAAGATTGGAAAGACGTACAGCGTCAGTCAGGCATCGAAGAGCGCAGCGAATGCCGGCGAATGGACGAGAGTTTTCTCACTGGCTAGATTGTGCACCAAGCAGCGTGATTTCAGATAAAAAGAAGGGCGTACTCCAAATGCATGCGCATCGCCAAAGCTTTCACTAAGAAGTGTACATAATAAATGTTGTACTCACCTCCTTATAAACAGAACAGGTAGAGTAAAGTACTTTCTTGACAGCAGGAAATGTTAATGCATGATGTAAAACTCTTAGTTGGAAGCTGGACAGTTTCTTTAACCTCTTCTGACTCACTTCATTCTAGAAACAACAAAAAAGGAGGTAGGGATGGAAAAAGTAAGAGACAAGATAGGTATGGGACACTAAGTACGGTAGTACTTAGTATATAGGGATGACACAGGTTGTCCTGCATTATGCCCATACATT